GATGATGATGATGATGATGTGCTTCCCTTGCGCGAAGCACAATAGCAAAGTACCACTCTTGTGCTGGAGCAGCTTATGGACCTTGCTGAAAGCGAACAAATGATGCTGAGACGCGTTTACCTTACGTTCTACTTGAGAAGTATTGTAGATGAAGAAACCTCCGCATGCGTGCTGACCTTGCTTCTCCAGAGTTGCATGACCCTTGCACTATGTGTTGCCCTGTTGACATTGTGGCAGGGAGATCAAGGAGTTGCATTCCTTCGATTCCTACCACTCGGTGGCGATCTGGGTGTTGGCTTAGTGTTCATCTTCGGTTTGCAGGGTTGCCAGACGGCTCTAATGTTATTTCTCGGATCCAATGCCAAAAGAGCAAGATTAATTTCTTGAGGTGTGACTTTTACTGGTGAGCCACTTGTGCGGCAACTCCTGCAGGTACTTTGTGCAATTCTGCGTTGGATTGGCTGTGTCCCTTGCCCTTCGTTCCAATCCAACGAACATGCTGCAAGTCTGGACACGCCAGTTGGCCCCCTGCCAGTCGGCCTCGAAGTAGTCACCATCTTGGTCCGCATTCTTGGGATCCTGAAAATGTGCAAAGAGCTTCACACATCTGGAGTCCCGCCAAAGTGCTGCCGTAGATCCATGACAAGAGTTGTGTTCTGTTTGGGCACCAAAAAAGAGATTGCTGCATCACATCAATTGAACTGGAGCAGCTGACAACCAAGCTATCCACTATCCACTAAAGCATGAAGCTCCATTGCTGCAGTCATGTTTTGAGACCAAGCATCTGCCAAGAGCTGCTTGACTTGGATTTGGTATGCCATATGTGCTGCTTTAACCAAATCCTCCCCGCCAAGCTGAAGAACTCTCCTCAATGTGGCACTCGTCTCAGAAGAAGATGTCTTTCTAAATCAACTCAAAAACTGTTGCTCGGGGCTAGACTTAGATTTGGGAATCAAACACAGTGCGGCTTTCTGTGGAGGCCCAGCAGGATTCCTCTCATGTGCAGCCTGTGTAGCCTAGCTCTGCCAATCTTACAATGTGAAAGGGTCCGATCTGCAACGCGTGGTTGAGAAGTTTCAGTGCCTTTTAGGATTATCTTTGGAGCCTACAAGGTTTTGTGGCAAAGTCGCATAGCTAGGCCCTTTTGGGAGCCTCATTAGATTATAGTTGTCACAAAAGACAGGCGCCCATGTTTGAAGAGCCAAAGGTGATGCCTCAAGGACCTCTGTTTGGTTTGCAGGATATACATGCACCAAGCACAACGTTGAAGGGTGCACAACTCTTGGGATTGCTTTTTTGTTAACCCCTGACCCTTTTCTCTTGACCCTCATCGTTTTTTTGACCCCGCCCCCCCATCCTTCCTTTTTGACACTCCTTTAGGGTGATCGCAAAAAGAAGGGAACCCAAAACTCTTGTCATGATCATTCTGCCACCCGGCCATCCTGCAGGAAAGAAAAAGCACCGTTGCCTGTTCACGCAACTTGATCAAACCAGAGGGGCTGTTTTGCACCTTTTCTTCATCCAACAAGTGCCCGTCCCAAGCAATTCCAAGTGTCTGCGCCAGACCCGAGACCCAGGTTCTCGGAGGCTCGGACCTCGGCTGAACATCGAGGTCCGAAAAAGCCAGATACCGTGTAAGTGTGTGTGTGTAACCTTTGGATTCACAAGGCTCCTTTTGGAGTGTTTGCTTTGAGTTTTGATTCGTAAGCAGGGGGGCAATCCCACATCGCAGTTGATTGCCCAACGAAGAGGGCTGCAATGTGGCTGATATCCGGAAGGGACGCCTTCTGGACGTACCTGCTTGGTTGTGGCGTTTACCAGCTTTTACCCTACTTTCCGGTAAAGTGCTAGTGAGTTCTGCAGATGTGCACGAACGCCGTCATCTTGTCGATCCGAACTCGTCGATTTGGTGCTTGCGCTTTGGGCCTCACCTTCGTTTGAAGACCACCAGCCTCCGTTGGGCGTTACCTGTACTCTTAGGAAATGGTTACCTAGGCCGGCGTGTGGCGCCGCTGTCAAATCAGTACGCATAATCATAATAAGTGTGTCTCTCCTAGTGAGAGCCCAGGGTGAGCCCGAAGAGTGCCCCCTGTGGACCCGTTGAACGGGTGTTTGTCGAACGTATCCCCTGCCCGGATACAAAGCTGCTCACAGCGAGCGTAGGTGGCCGAGGCCGAGAGAACTCAGACTTTTGTCGACTTCTTGAATTCCAAGCTAGCTCATGCCCTTACGTGACCGCAGCGGTCCAAGCTGGCTTAACGCTTCAACGTGGTCAGAGCGACCAAAGCCTTTTTGAGGTTCGTTGGAACCTTGCATACACATCGTACACACTTTAACGAGGCAGGTCTTCCTAGGTCGTTGTAATGAGGTCTGGTTTCATGGGTTCCCGTCCCCTCCATTTGGTTCCCTTTTCACCCTTTCCCGTTTCCCCTTCACACACTTCTTTTTCCTCTTTCTTTTCATGTCTTCCCTTGCTTCGTGCCCTTTCATCTCACTCCTTTCTTTCTCTCGCGCGCACAACGGTCCGGGCGTTAGTTTGTACGCGCACATCCACTGTACATTAGGTCTCAGGTCGCCCAGGTTCTGATAATGAGGTTTGGCTCACTGTTTGTCCCTGTGCATCTGGCTCCCTTTTCATCGCAACCACATACCCTTTTTGTCCTGTCTTGTCCTCGTTTCATGTCTTCATCTTTTTGTCCTTGGCTGCGTGCACCTGTGCACACACGTCTTAACCTTAGTTTTCGCCTCCCCTCGGGAGGCGTGTGTGTGTGTGTGT